AATAATAATACGTTTTATTGAAAATGAGACAACACTTTCGAAATCCTGGTTTTATCTTCAAACCTGTAGACGAAATCCTGGAGGATTTCGAAACTGTTGCCTCATTTTCAATAAATCGAGTTTGTGCGTTGTGGGTTTTTCTAATATATATCTATATCTATATTTATATATATATATATAGATATAGATATATGTATGTATGTATGTATGTATATAGATGTGTGTGTGTGTGTGTGTGCATAGGAGTAGGAGCCAGGGGGGCTGGGGGGGCTGCAGTCCCCCCAGTCGGGTAAATGCTGGTTGAATTCGGGCAATTTTGTGCAGGGGCGTAGATAGGAAAATTCATAGAGGGGGCGAGAAATGAAGATATCCTGACAAAAATTTGACACTAATTCTCATTTTTGATTATTTTGAACATAACATAAGGCCACTAGAACTAAACGAAACAGAAAACCATCGTTATTTTTCCGACAAGTGCAGAATTTTTCCGACAAAATGGCAGTTTAGCCTTACAGGTGGGTTTTTCTTACTTACTTACTGGTGGCATTCATAACAAATTTTCTGGCAGGTCAAATTTCTCTTCCTCTTTCACTCGGGAAGAAAATTTGCAACCCCCCCCCCCTAAATTTTAAATGCCCTTACGCCAATGTGTGTGTGTGTGTGTGTGTGTTGTATGCATGTGCAAATATCCACATTATATTGTTCAAACCACTTCACCATACAGCATGGAGTATCATATCACTCGTAATGCGCTATGTGAGTTGGAGTGTATCTAGCGAAATCTTGACCACGCAAATTCAGCAACATTCGAGACGATAAAATAGCACTGCTGAAAGCGAAGAAAACGGAGTCTCGGAAGTTTCACGGAAGACCTGCATAAATGACAAAAATTCTGAAAATAAATCTGACTGTTTAGAGAGGGATTTTTAATTAGACCTCACGCCATCTTTCCAGCAAAGGAAGAGGGCAAGAACTGAAAAGTACATATGCACCAAGAAACATGACAAATAAAAATTTGGATGTCAGTAAGGCCTAGTAAAAATCAACATGTACGTACGGTGCATATATTATACATACAGATATCCATCTTCTAGAAAATATTCAAATAATGGAGGCTATCTATAAATACACGAAATATATATTTTTCCAAATGAGGTGCATAACTTGATCTACCATCGCGCTGCTATAGGAAATTTAACTTAAATTTTCATCTGCAAGGCAGTCTCTTGGTATTGAGCTGAATTTCACGTAATGTCTGCTTAGATTTATGATGACTCATAAATCTAGCCACTAGTTATTCCTTTCAGCAATAATGTTTGTTTCATTTTTAGAAAAATAGATATCTGCGGAGTGACGTGATTATTTTGCTTACGGAAATTATTTCTATAATCACGCTTTTTAGGATTAGCAAAATCAAGCTGTATTCTTGTATTCTGTATTCCAAATTTCCAACCTATCTCTTAAACAAATGAAAAACATGTTATTAGCTGTGTTCGAGATTATGAGGGCCAGATATGAAAAACTGAAGAAAATGGACATGTATACCATCTAGCATTGTAAACTATTGCAGGGATTAAGTTTTTTTTTAATCGACGAGAAAACATGTGAATGATGTAAGCACAATGACACACCTCTTCGGGCATACAGAACTGTTTGACTGACAGCCCTCTATATAAATATAAGCACAGCCAGGATAATTGGTATATTATCCTGGCTTTTGTGTAGGGCATACACTAGTCTGTAAATAAAACTTATCAAATAAAATCAAACCTCTCTCTCTCTCTCTCCCCACCTCTGTGTGATAAAATCACGGTTGATGTCAAGTAGCATAAACTGAACTGTAGCTTTAGGATTTAATTGCGTGATAGAAGCATTGTAAGAGCAGGCGGTGAATGGCGATTTCCGCGTCAGTCAGGTCAGCGTCTGTTTTGAGTCAGGTGAAGTACCGGTGTGGAACAACAGTGATAAAGTTGTATATAATATATATATTCCGTTATTCTAATGAAACGAGGATGAATTTGGGAGTTTGCTGGTGACTGGCCGAATGTAACATATTCAAGTAACGCCAG